AATGAGAGAGAGAGAGCACATGAGAGGGGGGAGGGTCAGAGGGAGAAGCAGACTCCCCGCCGAGCAGGGAGCCCGACGCGGGACTCGATCCCGGGGCTCCAGGATCATGACCTGAGCCGAAAGCAGTCGCTTAACCAACTGAGCCACCCAGGCGCCCTAATTATTACTAATATTGGCAGCAGGGACAGAGTGCTCGCTGGAGGCCAGGCACTGGTGAGGTACCTCACATAAACTTTTCATATTCGTAACAACACTGTAAAGTAAGTACTGTTATTATCCCATGTCACAGATGAGGAAACGGAAGTACAGAGAAGTAAAGGAACTTTCCAAGGCCAAGGTGGTGGGCCTGGGATTGGCAACCAGGCCGTCCGGACTCCACAGCTTGAGTTCCTGAGCTCCAGCCTCCACCACCTGCCAGGTCCCAACCTGGCTCAAGCCACCTGGAGCCACAGGATGGAGCTGAGCGGGCTCAACCCCAGCTGGGAACATCTACTCCTCCGGGGTTTGGAGGCTGCCGGGGAGCCCTTCAAGGGGACAGGGAGAGATGAGTAGACGTGGGTCGGGGAGAGCTGCAGGCCCTACCTGTAGCACGTGCTCGTTGCTGCAGGGGGAGGAGGAGATCTGGTACTTGCTGGAGTTCCTGAGGTTACCTTTGGTGCTCTGCCAACCCACCTCAGGTTTGGGCTCCCCACAGACCACGGCCCGAAAGATGGCATTTTTCCCTGTGGCAGGAGAAGGCGGTCAAAAGATTGGCAGCTTGGGGGAGGGCTAAGAGTAGACTTTATTGGGACTTTAATTTGTTGTTCTCACTGCTCTAGGTATTTCCACTGCCCATTCCAAGAAGGGTGTCAGGCCTTGGTGCCCTGACTCAAGGAGTCTTATGATGCCAGGCAGAGAGCAGCAGTTTCCAGGCACCCAGAAGACAGATTCCCGCCCGCCCCCCCCCCCCGGCTTCTGTATCACAGAGGGTGGGCTCCTTGAGGAAAAGATGCGGCTGGACTGTCCATGGTGGAAGGAGAGGCAAGCAGGACTTGGGGTGGAAGGGTGCATTTCTTTGCACGTAGGTGAGGGAGGAGTCTGAAGGACCTCCCAAGACTGGGAAGGGGACGAGTCTTTTGGGGGTTCCGTGTCCACTTTCAAGGCGGGATGATCCCGAGACACAGGGTTCCAGCCTCAGAAAAGAGCCCAAGCTCCATGTGTGGCATGGAAGGCTGGGAGCTGCCCACCCTCGAGATCCCTTGGGCTCCTGCCAGGGACATCTCCATAGAGAGCAGTACAGAGTGAAGACCCAAGGGCCCTCCGCAGTGATGAGAGACAATTGCCCATGACCTTTGTATTTTGAGTGAGGACTTAGAGTCAGATTTAGAAAAATAAAGTGCCATTCTTTTTCTTATACTGAAATGATGTAAATTGCAAGGTATTGTAGGAACCTGTGCTGGGAAAAAGAACACCGATTCTCACCCCTTTCCCCAAAAGTCTTTGCTCCCATCACTTTCCTGGGCACTTTTCTCATGTGGCCCAAATGAACTTCGTTTTAACAGTGTCTACAGCGATTGCTCAGAGGTCAGGAGAGGGGAGGGGAGCTCGGCAACACCACCACCTCTCCCGCTCCCCAGTGAGCATCCCCCACGCTTGTTCCCAAATATTTCTTGTTTCAGCATACCCTAGTATGTCTTCACTCCCTTTGCCCATTCTGCCCGTCAGGTCCCTGGCCCTTCTGGGGACCCAGGCAGGCAGGCACCCCACAAGCAGAGGGAGACATGGTGTGGCCTGGTGCTGGATGTGGGGGCTGGGAGGCCGGCTAGGAAGGATGGGGCTGAGCCCTCTCCACCGTGCAGACACTCAGCAGCTCCCCTCCCGGGTCTCACCTTCCTGCAGTGCCAAGGCGACGGGCTTCTGCTGGAAGTCTGGTGTGCTGCCGCCTTCGGGGATCTCCTCCACCAGCTGCCGGATGCTCACCCCATGAATGGCGGACTTCTTTGGGGGCTTCTCTGGAGAAGGTGGGAGAAACAGAGATGAACCTTCCCTACTCTTCCTCGTGGGTGACCCTTTAACACAATGGAGCCCTGATGCATGCACCCACGGAACGTGAGCCCCTCCCCACTATCCCACCATTGGGCGGGATTGTCTCTCAGAGCTCCTGACTTGAACAGGGCTTTTGAATTTTCTAGTGGAATTGGGCAGTGGTCCTCCAGCAGTGTGAATGGAGCCCCTGGGAAGTGGGCAGGGGGCACCCAGGGAAGACCCTGGGAGCGTCACTGGGGTAAAGTCGGAGAAGGGAGAATGGGAAGGGGCTCCGCACTGGGGCTGTGCATCCTTTATTCAGGAAAACAAGTTAAAACCCAATGCCTAAACTGGAAAAAACAAAGAACCAGGCAAGTTCCCGAAGATCTCTGAGCCCTACCCTTCCCTCATTTCCACCCCGTGAGGAACGCCAGTGAGGGACTAAGACGGGGGAGGGGAGGTCAGCTCTTCTCTCACCTGCCATAGTTTGGGTGCCTCTTTGGTTACTGAGGGTGGCAACTGATCTCCTGAGAACAGAAGACAGAATTGCTTATGAGAGTGCAGGCTGATCTTACCCCATCTCCCCACACCATCCGTGCTTCGGCTGGTCTCTGGCCTGGGAGCTGGGTAGAGTTGCTGCCCCCTGAGAGCTTGTCTAACCCCACCTAATGGTATTGATCGGTGACCTGCAGGTCTCTGCTCCAGCAAAACCAACTTCCCCGAGACAGGGAGAGGGTGGGTTGCTGCTTGGTTTTACCTTTCCCAGGTAACGGAGCCCACGGGGCTGAACCTGCAACCTGTGCTGGTGGCCTGGCCTTTCGGGTGAGGCCCCAGGCCTGATGGCCACTCAGAGGATGAGACACAGCTTCCCCAAACCTCAGGAAATCAAATGCCTGGCATCCAGGATTCCCTTAACCATTTCGCAGCCTGCCCCCTCTTGACTGTGGAATGTCAGTTTTCCAGGGATATTCTCTGGGACTCTTGGCTCCAACCCCAACTCTGAGATTTTCTAGCAGGGTCCAGCGGCCTTCTACCTCCCTCCCTCAACTAATCTGGAATCTTTCTGATCACCGGGTCTATGGGGGAGAATCCCTTAGTTGGCTGTTCTTTAGCTCTTCTTGACACAGGCTGACAGGATCCTCATAAATCCATCTGCCCCCTTCCAAAGCCAGTGAATTATAGCGTCAGGTGAAAGAAATGCCCTCCAGCTTCTCCCAACCATCTCCCAACTCCCCCTGCGAGGAGGATGTGGGGGCTGGGAGGCCAGATTTCTGATTTTCTCACAATTACATCCTTCCATCATGGCTGCTGGGGAGTGCCACTCCGGGGAGAGAGGGGGCTTGGCTCTGGGCTGACATGAGAGCCTTGGTGAGAGCCATGAATTGGAGGGGGATGGGGGGGATGTCTTGAAAGAGTTCTCCAGCAGTCCCACCTCCTGTGCGATTGGCCCGTGGCCAAGGGTTCCATTTTGAAGATGCCATTCCCTGCCCAAAGAGCCTTGCGTTCAGGATAGAATCACACACGACAGAGCAAATTCCTCCCCCCAACTGACACTTGCATTTCACAACTGCCCACCACTGGCACTTCTGGCCTCGAGGTGTCCCATCTACGGTGCAGCGGCTGCCCCCCAGGGCGCTGGAATTCCATGGCGCGCCAGGGACGGTCTGGAGCAGTCACGGGGCCACAGGCGCCGCGCGGCAGGGAGTCAGGAGGGAGGGCGAGGATGGAGCGCGGCCGCCAGGGGAGGAGAACGCAGCTGACCACAAGGGGTGGGAGCTCCCGGGGTCTGCGTCCCACCCGTTCCCCGGTACATTGCCTGGCACCTGTCCTGGAGTAATTTGAATTTAACACGGACACCTTAGTTGTCCTCTTCATCTTCCTCATCACCGCCATCAGCCTCATCACCAGCTCTCAGTCACTTACTCTGCCGTTTGCCACACATGAAGTGTAATGCTAACACGGCCTCTGTCCGTCCAGCCTCCTGCCTACAGGTCCCAGCTGAGAAGGGCGAGAGAAGCAGACCCCTCCGGGAACTTAAGGGTCGGATGTTAAGCCATCTTGCCCTCTAGACCTCCATTCTCTTCAGGAAGCCAGACTTGGGACAAGGTTAGTGGCGAATGGGCAAAAGGTCTGCTTGGGTGGAGACTAGATGGATATCATCTCAATCAGGGGGGACAGGGAAGGAAATGAATTCTCTTCCCATGGTTCAGTCCCCCCTTTGGAGAAGAAATCTTAATTTTTCTTAGCACCAGACAGCAGCCGTGTCCTCAGTTCAGCCTACCAACACTCTCAGCCCTGGCCCCTCGGGGCAGTGTTTCCTGGTCCCTCCAGGACCCACAGCCCCCCGGCGCCCCCTGCTCCCACCTGCCGTCATCTTGCGCTTCTGGGTAGCTGCTGCCCCCACCTTCCAAACTGGTAGGGTTGAGGCTGGAAGAGCCAAATGGAGTTTGTCTCAACTGCTTTGACCATGTTATTAATCCAAATGTAACAAGTCCTAGACCTGAGGTCCTCATTCTAGACAGCTAGTCAGCTTTTTAACCTGGTCATCATTTCACACTCTAAGTCAAACAGTGCCTGGAAAATCAGAGCCAGGACAGGACCCCCCCGGACAGGACTCACTGAAATTCTCTCTTCCAAATATCCTGGAGTCATTTAGAGGGGACTGTACGTGCACCCCACTGTTTACAGCTGAATATTCCCCAGGCTGATCTCATGCCCACTGCTGCCCCTTCCTGAGTAGAAAAAGTTCGAGAGCATTCCAGCATCTCCATTTCTGCCCTGGGTGGGCAGCCAGGTGCGCAGTGCCTACTTACCTGGGTGTACTGCTGACCTCCAGCCTCCTGTCTGCTCCCTCCTCCCTGTTCCCAGCTGCCTCGCACTGCCAGAGCCTCTGAATGGACTGCTGGTGGACAGGCAGTGCTGGGAGCAGTTGTAGGTCGCTGCGGACTCCCCAGGCTCCCTCTGCCCCTCCCACTCACCCCGCCTCCCTCCTCCTGCTCTAGGCCAGGCTTGGCAGGGCAGGGCCCCTGCCCCAGGGTTAATGCCCTAGCCTCTGAGGAGGTCAGAGATGGAAGGGTCCCGTGACATTAGCTCATCCAACTCTTCAGTTTGCAAAGCTGACTGGTTAGGTTTGTTCCATGTGGCCTCATGTAGATACCCCCTTTTAGCAGGGGTGGGGTACATCATCCAAAGCCCTAATCTTGCTCCTAAGCTGATCCCTTGAGACCCTTGACACCATAAGTCACACAAATACATAAAGCCAGTGCCCTCTTGGGAATCACAACCCAAAGTGGCACCAAACAGGCAACAACCTCAGGAACTAGACAGAGGGCCCGATCCCAAAGGCTCTGCTGTGGGGGTGCGCTCCCCTGAGAGTGTGGGGCAGGGGGAGACCCTGGAGTCTGCAGCCAGGAGGCCTTCCGGGAGAAGGTGAGCTTTCGCGGGATAGAAGGGGGGTCCGGCCAGCTGGGCTAGGGGCTGAAAGTGGCAGGCAGATGGTAGGGGTTTTGAGGATGCGTGGATGGAAGATGGGAGTTGGGGATAGGATGGCTGCTAACGGATTTTCTTAAGGATAATGGAGGAGAAGCAAGGCCCGGGAGACGAGATGAGAAGGCCACCTGGTCTGCTTTGAAAGAGCCACCTTCAAAGGGAGGCCACTGGGTATTTACACGTACTCACTATCACATTGCCAATTCTGTAGGATCTACCTCTGCGTGTGTTCTGAGAAGGGAGGTGCTTGACCTCTTCCACTCCAGGGTGTGTGTGTGTGTGTGTGTGTGTGTGTGTGTGTGTGTGCGCGCGCGCGCGCGCGCATACATATATTGTGTGTCTCCTTGTGTGTTTCGAGCTCTAGGTGTCAGAGGCTGGTGTTTCGTTTATTCAGTAAGTATGTGTTGAACACTTACCCTGTGTCAGGTCCTGGGTCTGGCACTGTGTTAGGCACTGGGAATACAGAGGTAAGCAGATGACAGGGCCTTCCCCTCGTGGAGCTTACAGTCTAATGGGTCAGACGCATGAGAAATAGCCGGTAACAAACTGCAGCATGCTCTAGGAGAACTAGAGCCTCCAGACGGCTGGTAGAGCTGGAGCTCAGAGACCTAGGGCAAGAGTGACGTGGGCTGAGCTTGGACAGGTAGGCTTGAGAAGCCATTTAAGAATTTTGATCTCTGTCCTAAGGGCTGTTGAGGTTTATTTAATCTGGAAGAGCAACGGGACCCAGTTTGCATTTTTAGAAACTCATTCTGGTGCAGGGCAGAAAAGGAATGGAGGAGAGTGGAAGTGAGAGGCAGGAGTCCAGCTCTCAGGAGGCTGGTCCAATAAACCCAAGGTGTTCTTTCTGATAGTGGGGTCCTGGCCTCCAGGGGACCTTCCGAGCCACATGTTCCATCGTCCCAGGAGGAAAAGAGGGAGGCTGGGAACATGACCCAATACAGAACCCTTCAGCATTTTACGTGCCTGCCTTGGCCCCCAAGTAGCTGGTAGGTTCTTCCCTGAGGCCTGGGGATGGCTAGAAGACCACAGTAGGCATACCTCTCTGCTCTGCACTATCCCATACTTGAATCCCTCTCTTTGCAGTAAGATGGAAATTTCAGGACTCCAAGCAACTAAAATTCCACCCATCCTCTATCCTCTGTTTTTTATGCTTTATCAAATGGAATACCCAATAATATTTAGCTATGCCTGGCATGTTTAGCCATCTTCCTGAAGGTGAGAATCCTCAGTGGTATGAAAGATCCTGGGCCAGACTCTGGTGTTGTTCCTTGTGATTGGCAGTATGTAACAAAGGGGTGACATGGGGATGCCAAGCCCCTTTAAGGAATTTTCTGGCTACCTACCACTCAGGCCAACAATAGCGTGTTCTGACCTATTCCCCAGTGATCTTTCCCAGTGCCCTGATTTTATCCAGTGGTAAAATTTTCACACTACCTCTCTCTATAATGTAACATTATTACACCCCCTGATAGACTTTTTCTTTGGGAGATAAAGGAACAAGTTTTGGCCTTTATTATTAGGAGAATATCCATGTCAGAAGAGCTCTGGGCAGGATTTGTGCATATTCATTCTTTCACAGTGTCTTATGGGAAGGGCTCAATGACTTTGGGTAGTGAAATGATCACAATTTATTATTACTCCCTTGTCCTTACAAGAGGGAAATGCATTATTATATGGCAGGTGCCAAGAGGCTCAGGCCCCATACAGGCCTCCCTCTGGGGGCCCTCTTACTCCCCATGGCATGGGTTGGGTGGGATGATCTCTGAGATCCTGGCCAACTTGAATCTTCTAGAGTCCTGTGACCTACTGAGTGGGTTTCATGAGCAAGGCCTTGTGGACTTGAAAAGCAGGGTAATTTCATGTGACTCAGGAGAGAATTTGAATTCATTTGCAGGCTGCTACTATCTCTATGTCTTCGTGTGAAAAATGGCTCTGCTCCAGCGGGGCAAGCTGCTAAAGACACTCTCCATGGGGCCACGTCCTCTCTTGTTCCCGCTGAGGTCCAGGTAGATGGGTTGGGAGGGCATGGTTCTATTCAAAGACACACACACACACACACACACACACACACAGTGTCACCAACAGAGCTGGACTCTCCAGAAAGATAGAAGGCTACCTGCTGCCCTGTGGGGATGGCTTCAGGGATTTAGACCCATTTCTGAGCTTAGGGCTAGGGCCCAGGACTCTGTTCCCACCTGTCCTTACCCAGGAAGATGGAACTGAGAGAGTGGGGTGGGGGCAGACGCTACTTTTCCCTGTGCTTCCCACCAGCCTCCCTGGGACCCCATCAGGGCTGCCTTTCCATCGGCCACTCTCAAACTACCCACACCCCCCTGCCCAGCTGCCCGCCTGGCCAGCCCACAGGTCAGCCTTAGTTCCCGGCTTTCTCACCCACCTGCAGGGAGGGAATGTGGCCCATGGAACTGAAGATCTTGGAGACCCCAAGGGCAATTTCATGCTTGCAAAGCTGGCTTTCCTCATCAGAGAAATGTGTGTCAGGAGCTAAGCCTCTCATCTGCAAGGGTCGAGCCCAGGAGACCCTGCTGACCTGAGGGTCACAGAAGGAGGTCCTCTGGACCCCCAGGGAGCAGAGGGCAGGAGGAGTCCTTGCTCCAGTTTCCAGGAGGGGTTAGGCCATGCTGGGCATCAGTCTACTGGGGCAGTGTAGAACCTCCCAGAAGATCAGAGCTGGACAGAATCTTTGAGAGCATTTAACACCGACAACACAATGACAACAACAGCACTTGACTCTTAAACAGAGCTCTTGCTACGGGTCAGACATTCTCCTAGGTCTTTAGATAGATACATTAACTCTTACATCTGCATTCTTAATGACTAGTAATCTGTGGATCTACTCTGCCTCCCTCCATCCCAGAGATGGGCTCCTCTTCTGGGCCTCAGGGCCCGTCTCTGCAGAGGAGGGAGGCAGAGGTAGATTCACAGATTACTAGTCATTAATGGAGAGGAACATGACCTGCCAAAAGGCAGTGAATTGGGGAGAAGCCCCAACTACTAAGTCATTCCGGAAAGCTGCTCCCTTGAGGTGTCAATCAGATGGTGAGGAAGTAAATGAAAAGTCCTGCTCGAGGAGGCAAACCCTCTCTGCTTTCTAAGGCTGCATTTTCATATAGCTGCCTATCTTACGGAGACGTTTGCCTGCTCTCATCGAATCATAGCAAATTACAGCACATCCTGGGTCCGGAGATACTGTGTGACACCGTGTGGGTCGTCTTCTTTAGCCACGTAACAAGGCTATGAAGTAGACACTTATTATGTCCATTTTACAGAGAAGTAAGCTGAGGCTAAGAACGGTTCCATGCCAGCCTCACTGTTACACAGCTAGTAAACGACTGAGTAGGAATGTCAAGCAGGCCCTCTGACTCCATCATACTTCTGCCTCCTGGCCCAGCCATTCAGAACTGGAAAAGTTAGATATAATTAAACATTCTGCAGCCTTCGTGGCTGTATTCTTTTGACCATGAACCCCCTATCCTCAAAAGATCTACCAGGGCCTCTCAAAAGTTGAGAAGGGCCCAACAATTTGCAATTTTTAAGAGTTCTGGTATTTTTTTTAAAGGAAGAAATAATAAAACAGGGCTAAAAGATGAATGATATATTTTAAATATTTATATTTAGCCACTTAATACGTTTAACCCATAGACACAAAGTGCCATGCAATATAATCATGCTCTTTACCAATTATTACAGGGTTGATAAAATGGATAATTCTTGGTGTTCTACCAGTAGTATGATCTGGGAATGAACGCCATGCTTAAAAAATATAAAAGGAGCATCCCTTTCATTCCTCTCAGTGTTTCTCCCATGACCGTGTGGAAAGCTCATTGGGAGATAATGTTGGAGCCCTTCAAGAAGCATCCTGCCACCACCCGGGGTAGGCTCTGCCCAGGGCAGGAGCTGGTGGGGGGGAGGTGGGGAGGAAAATCTGTGGGGTTCAGAAAGGACTCTGTGTCACCCCTTCACCAGTCCCCCCAGCTCTCAGCAAGTCGGCCCAGCTCCGTGTCCTTGGCAGCCCCAGCCAGTGACAGCCACTGTGGGAAGAGGTGGCAAGCAGACTGGGGAGAAGACATCCTCCTCCCATCTTTCCCAAGAGCTCTCCTGGCGACCACACCACATGCCCCTGACAATCATGGGCCTCACAGCAAGCGGCTTTATGCTGGCAGAAGAGGGGACAGAGAGGACTGGAGACCCCACCTGGGCATGCCCCTGGAATTCTCACTCAGCTGTCTGTAGGATTGCTGCCCTGAGCAACTCTGAGAACACAGAGCTGAACTCCCTCTTCTCAGATGGATAAACTGAGTCCAGGAGGCAGTGAGGAGCTGGGGAAGCAGCAGCAGGGTAGAGGAGCCAGCCATCTTGAGCTGGGACATGA